AACTTGTTGATTTGTGGATGAGATGTATATGCAGCTAAGTGTGACATTCCCCACCAGGTAGAGATCAATTCTGTCATAACATTAAAGAAATGTTAGGAGTCTTTCGCTTGGCCTCTAAAACAAATCTTATTGTGGAAATTTTTAGCTATAAGAAGGAGGAGAGAAAATAACATAATGTGTTCCCATCATCCAGTCTTGACATTTTCCAACAATTTGCCAATTTTGTTTCATCTTATTTGCACTTTTTGGGTTTGTTTTGCTGGAGCATTTTTAAGCAAATGCCATTCATCTTGCCATTTTGCTGGTAAATACTTTAGAGTGTCTCATTTTTAAAAAATATAATAACCACCAAACCATTATTATATCCATCAGAATTACTGGTTATCCATTAATATCATCTAATTCCCCTTGCATGTTGAGATATCCCAAATAATTTCAAAGATGGTTTCTTACAGTTAGTTTCTTTTCCAGACAGGACCCAAACATGGTGTACACTGGCATTTGGATGTTTTAGTACAGAATAGACCTCAGAAAGAATACAGGGTTTTTTGTGTCAGCGGGAAGGAAGTGGGTAACTGTCCGGTAGTATGTAAGGTGACTAGAGCTTTGAAAGGCAGACATGGGGATTTCAGACATGAGGGCATTTCAGACACACGGAGTGCGAACTCTGGGTGGTTCTGTTTGCATGTGAGTGGAGATGAAACTGACTACCCGCCTGTTCTTTGCACAACGGGAAATCACAACGGGAAATCGAACTTAAGGAGATGACTCTGGAAGCAGCTATGAGACTGGAGTTGGGGAGACTGGTCAAATGCTGTTGCACAGATGACCATAAGGAAAACAGTGATCGTTATAACTCCATCAGCAGAACACGTAGGATCTGGGGTCACAATGTTTAGGTTCAAATCTCAGCTCTGCCACCATCTAGCCTTGTGGCGCTGGGGAACTTTCCAGCATGACACCTCCACAACTGTTTGAGCTATAAATATGAGAACTTGTATGAGTAACAGCTCAAAATGTCATCTTAAGGATTAAAGGAAATTACCTACAAAGTGCTTAGCCAACACTCCATAGAGCCAGCCACATTAGAAGAGGACTGGGGTGGACAGGGGCTGAGTGGAACGACCAGGCTCCATGACAGCTGGAAGTGTCCTGAATCGCGAGGTAGGCAAGTGATGAACCATGGCTAATTCATGTTCAATCGTGTTAATGTTAAGACCTCTTCTTCCCCGCCCCGCCCCTTAAAGCACACACATATGCATGCACACACATGTGCACTGCCAGAGCCAATCCATCATTCAGAAGGTGGGAAAATCAAGCAAGAAAAGAAGATTAGGACAGTTTTGCTTCAACAGAAGGCACTGGGAGTACTGGAAGAATTTCCATGGAGACAACCACTTGGAAGTTGGATGCATTTAATGTTTAAGGAAATGGCAGGGCTTCGGTTAGTTTCAAGGCTTGTCTGCATTGACATAATTGTTAAATCAGCAGTGAGGTCAAAATCACAGGAGAAAAGCTGCAGATTTTAAATAGAGCAAATTGAAACACACACCAAAACGGGTGAAGACTATGCACACATGGAGAAACATTTAGGGAGCAACAGAAAGAAAGTCCATGAATGAGGGAAGCTCAGTAGTGTCTGAATGTGGGTGGGGGGCTAGAAAAGCTGGTGAAGGGGCCATCTCTGGTGGTGCAATGGGTAAGAATGCAGCCTCTTCACTGCGAGTTCGACCCCTGGCCCTGGAGGTGACCCACATGGCGTGGCAGACCTCTCCTGACCCGCCCACTGCTCCCCTCAGCAGTGTACTTTGGCGATCTGCCTGTTCTGCTCCCCACTCTGTCTCTGGTGAATCCTCTTACCGCCCCTGCACCTCTGGCCTGTACCCCAGTTCTGTATGCATAAATAAATAAATAAACCTTAAGAAAAGCTGGTGAAATGGAAACTAAGGATTCTAAGGAGGCTATTCATCAGTGTAAGGTACAGCTCTTCAAATGGAAGAGCTCTGGGGGGTGATGGGGGCAGTGAACTGTTTGCGCTAGTAGATAATTCGATCCACAAGACCAAATCTGGGGAGTGTGTTCTATCTGCAAGTCTGGATGATGTCTACATTTAAGCAAAAATGAAAGGAACACAAGAGCACACTCAATGATAGGACCAGAGACTCTTGGGAAGTAAATCCCAAGAGAAATCCCCAAACTGAGAGAAAGCCACGTGTTTAGTGGACAGGCAGCCACTGCTGCCCTTTGAGAGTCATGAAATGTCATGGCTCGTCTCTGAGCTGTCCATCTGTGAATTAAAAAGCCCATGAGCTGGCCCTCCCTGGTGGTGTACTGGTTTGGGACTCAGCACTGCAAGCTAGCGATAGCCACTTTAGTGCGAGTTCGATCTCCAGCCCCAGAAATGATCCATCTGGCATAGGAAACTCCTCCTGATCTGCCTGCTGCTCCCCACCCTGTCTCCTGTGAATGTTCTCACTGCCCTGCACCTCTGGCCTGTACCCCAGTTCTGTTTGTATAAATAAATATATATTTAAAAAAAAACCAACCCATGAGTGTGTAAGCAATATGGTGAGCTCAGTCCCTTGGGGAGTGTATCTAATGTAGCAAAACCAAAGCCACATGATGAAATCAAGGTGACTTGTGTTGCCATGTAAAGAAGCAGAAGATAGGTGTACTCCGTTCCAGCAGAGAACCAGACCTCACTAGAGAGACTAGCCTCAAAAGTGCTCAGCCAGATGCCTGAAGACGAACGAGACGTGACAGACACGCCAAGCACTGTGGCCACAACCTCAGTTACTCTTTAGTCTAACACACTTCCAGAATACCGCCACTGCCCTCAGACACTGCTCTGGAGAACAGACTATTCTAGATACAGAGTTTTACACTTTCTTTTGTTCCACATGCAGGAAATTAAACTCAGAGGCCACTGCAAAGCTCTGGGGTAGCTTGGTCCAGTCCCTGTTTTCCACGATGCATGCTTATTGGTGATGAGCAGGCAGCTGGGAGGTCTGCTGCAAGCAGCCTCTGGAGACTGGTAAGTGAGGGCCAATGACATCAGGCACAGGCTGCGTAACTCATTCATGTAAGTAGCTATCATCGAATTCCTTCAGGGCACATACATGTTGCACACACTCGGAAGGATGGAGCTCCCCTAAACCCACCATGAAGCTCGATTTAGTCTGTAACAATTGATCCCGGCCCTGTTCTCTATTTCAGCTCTTTGCTTTGAGCAACAGAGTCAGGCAGCTGTACTCCAGGCAGGGCTCAGCATAGCTTCCTTTCCTTTAATGGCAAAGGCAGCCACGTTCATCGAGGAAGGGGAGAGCATTCCCATCTGCAAAGCCAAAAGGTGAGACTGAAGGTATCCTATGTCTTTCAGTTTCTGGAATCTGAACAGTGGCCAAGTTACAAGCTGCAGGCATGATCCCACCTAGTTGCTTTTTAAACTGCTTTCTACTTCTCAGTTCTAAGTAGTCTTCATTGACACCTAAAAGTTCTTCTATGGTTGGATGGTGAATACTTTTTGCCTCCTTATCTGGGGACAGTGGTAGATTTTTTTCTCCCCCAAACCTGCTGTATAAAGTAGGCTATGGGCAAGTCAAAGTGATCACTAGGGTCGGATTTGAAAGTAAAAACAGAACAACTTTACTGAAACCCATCACAGAAGTTCTGAATTCTAATAGGCGTCGTCCATATGGTTAATATTTGATTGTCTCTGTGCTCACTATGGGTCCTTGTGTAGGGCCACATCTGCTTAAGAGTTAAAACAGGTGTTCTCCCAGGCCATAAACAGGATTTTCAGAGGCAATTTTGGGGCCCCTGTGTGGGCTCTCCATACAGAAACAGAATCCTGAGCACCATGAAACTCTAGTTTCAAGGCAAGACATATCAAAAATAAAGCTATCCAAGGGAGCAGAGACTCTGAAGATGTCATAGAGAAAAAGAATAAGGAAGTCATAAAAGGCAGGGATAGGGTAATATTCGGCCCATGCTTCCTGAATAACATGACTCAGTCTTCACATGGTGCTGGTTTACATTTAAAGTGTAACTGGCTAAAAATAAAACTCAGAATCCAAGATTTTCTGAAGTAGCAACACAGCCATTACTTGAAATCACACTTCAGTTTAGACAAAGGCAGTTAGGTACATAAGAGAACCTCTGAAAAAGTGTAGACTCTGATCTGATAGTATTATCACTCATATTCCAGAATTGCACAGAAATTCTCTAGCACTTTCTGTTAGACCGCCTGCATTCGCACACCCTAAGCTGGAGAAATCAATCTATTTTTTTCCCCGTCTATCTTTCCTGCAGAGGAAGGTAGCACTATTTTTAGAAATTCAACACCTTCTGGTAGACCTGTACCAATGTGATTTTTAAATCTGCCTTTTCAATTTCCCTGTTCTTTTTTCTTCAAACTATCCCTGTGAACTCTGAATGGATAATCTTCTGAGCTGATCTAACGCTACAGCATTTTAGCTCCTAAATCATAAAGATTTTTGTACTATGACTTCAACATGATTCAGATAAGATTTGATAATATTTAACATGGTAAGAGCAAACAGTCTCAAATTAGGTGAATAATACACTGAGAATCTAGGACTTGAAATAATTGAATTACGAACATGAATACATTTTAACACGCAATTGTGCACATTTTTCTTTCTGTCACTGCTTGCGTGTTTTGTTTTGACTGGAGAAAAAAATAGCAAGAGATCCTCTAAATAAGTTAATATATTATGGATTGAGGCCTTTTTTTACGTCAAGATCTTTCTGGACAAAACTGAAGTCCACAATTGAAGACGAATTAGGAGGTATCAGGCACTATTTTAATCCTTTGCCCCAAATGACCATCTGATTTCTCCACTCAAGAACAAATAATGAGCCTTCAGACAAGATAAAGGGTGAGAACCCCCAAGACCTGGTGGTGGGGCACAATTCCATCAGGAAAACAGATCAAAAGACTCGCTAGGTTAAATTAAAACCAGAGCAGGAACACTTACCCTCATGTCTCCATTCACAGTTTTCGGTGTATGATTGAATGCGTGTGCAGGATCCTTGTTGTATACTTTGAGAAGCGATCTGTCCTGAATGTTCCTGGAAGCAAAAGCATCAATAACTATGGCAGGTGGAAGGAGCCTGACTTTGCCCATTTTTTGCTGGCCCAAAAGAGCCAGGTTAAAGACATCAATAATCTAGCAGCTGTTTGCAATCAACTGGACAAAAAGTTCTTTTACTATAAGATAGGCAAAATAAACAAAGAAAAGAAGAAAAATAACTTCAGCTCTTCCCTTTTTTGTTCCTTGGGAAAGTATTATTCTTTCGGTAGAGTTCTCCACCCACAGATATCAGGTAGCCTGAACTTTCTTTCAAGATTCTGAGCCCGGAAAGCTAACACCTCCAGAAACAATAAAACTCTATATTTGCAACACTCTCAAAGAGATTCGGTTCATGTTTAAATATTTAATTGTTTACTTTGCCTAAACACCTCGCTTTCAACTTATCTAATGAATGCACCCAAACACTCCTTTTTTCCCTCCAATATTTTCATTTCATGGCAAACAAACACTTCATTTCAGCAAAGGCAAGGACATGTACTTGCAGTCCAGAAAAACAAAGGACCACAAAGATCAAAACCAGTACAATGCCTTTTCTTGACTTCAAGAATGTGTTTTTTAAAACAGCTTCTGATATACAAGCTCATCTATGGGACATGCAGGGTAGCTAGGAAGAACAACAGAAGATAAAATTTCTTCCTCTCCTCTGTCTCTCATGGAGGCATTTAGAGCTCAGGAAGTGAACAGAAGTCATAAATCTGACGCGACTTTAAGAGCCTACCTTCAGGGTACGTAAGAGCCTATGAGCACCTGTGCAGTCCCATCCGAGCACAGTCAGGGCGCACCGTGAACGGCTGAGGCATTCCGAGCCCCGCTACCCCGGGCTCCAGCCAGCCGGCGCTGGGCAGCAGGAATGGGGAGACACGTTCCTTTTCTCCAGGTGCAGCCACTCGTTTCGTGAGCTGATCGCAATCACTGGGATTATTGGGTTGTGTTTTTGTTTAAAAGAAGTGGAAGATTCTTGGACTAGTCTTGCTTCTCTTCTTTAAATATCCATCAGTAACTGCTTTGAAGCAGTAACTAGCCCAAGCTTGCTAAGTTGCTCCAGATTTCAAGGAGTTCCTCAGAAGTTCACTAAAGGGGGGAGCCTCAAGCCCTAGTTATGCGAAGGGACTATGCCATGATGAAGAGAAGAGTTCACAGACGGTGAGGAGGGATGGAGTTTCTAAATGAGGTCACCCTGTAATGGGGGAAGCCGCCAGTGATGAGGTGGAAAAAAAAAAACAAAACTGAAAACCACGAAAAACTTAGTGTGACTCTAAAGGGATTTAAAATACATGAGGTTGGTTGATGATTAATTTAGAAACATGTTCATCCAAGATGAACCAACAGTAAAGGCCCAGATTGCATTTACCATGGCAACAATTACAACACAGAATTTCAACCTGAACTGCCTGTAAATTTTCCCTAAGGAGAATATGGAGAACCCAACACAATGATGAAATAACCAAATGTTCAGCAAATATACTCACTTCAAAAATATTGAAGGAGATGAAATAAAATTTGTCTCTAAATTTAGAAGATACAAATTATTGGTTTTAGTTAAACATCTATATGATACAGGTGGGATTTTTTTTTTTTGGAACGAGGTTAGAGGGAGGTTGACTGGAACGCTGATGGTATTTATGCATTAAAAACAAAGAAGTAGAATAATCCTTTGAGAAAGACATGCATGTGATCATCTGGCAGAAACATTATATTCATCACCACAGAGGAATATTTTATTCACTTAAAAATTTTAGATCTATTTTTATATTCAAGGAGAAACACTGAAAAGGAAAATCATAAACAAACTTATAATCCGTGATGTCTAACTTATACATTTTAATTGAGATTTTTCAAATGCCAAGCATTAGTACTGCAGAAGGACCACCAAGATGTTATTTTTGCAACTACAGATATAATAGCTGAAAGTGATTCCTGTTCTAAGCAATCACTTTCCCCCTCAAGCTGCTCTTATCTATTTTTTCTACAGAATTTGCATCCAGCAGGATCACCTTAGTTTGGAAATTTGGATAAGTTTTTTTACTCTGCCCTTCCCCCCTTTCTCTCTTTTGTGGCTACTTCAGGACACTCTCACAGAATGTGTAAAGGAAGCCCAAATAGTAATATGATGACCTTGGGAGATGCTCTGGAAAATCGTAACTTATTGTAATATAAAAATACTTGGGTGGGCTGCAAAAGAGTAGAATCCAACTACTCTGAATAACCCCATCAGTTTTGAGCTCTATAATCAAAAGTAGCTTTGTGTAGTTTCATGTTTATTATTACCACATCTTTGAGTCCCTCTAACAGCAAAACAGAAATTGAAGAAGACCCTTGTAAAACAACATATAAAAGCCCTACATGGGATTGTATTACTGCAAACATGCTCGAGAAATAATGTGATCATGTTTAAGTTCATGCCCTGTAAATTCAATTTTTTTTGGGTGACAGCTTGATTAATAATTTATTTCAAAAACAAACATGAATTTTCTGATAGCCATGAATATTTAAACATGCTTTTAAAAAGCCAGAAGGTTGTGTAACAGATGCAGCACCTATGCCTCAGGGCGTGTGTCAAACTTTGCAAGTCCTAAATTACTCATAGCCCAAGCCTAAAAATGATCATAGAAATACCATTGATATCTATCATTTCACATTTATTATACACTAGAGGCATCTGTTTAAAAAGAGATCCCCATTAATTTCATAATAAAGAAACAAGACAGCCTGTTATCCCCCGAGAACAGGGACCCAGATATCAATTGTGTGGCCCAAATTGGGGGAACCCCCCAATTTGGGGGAAACAAATGGATGAAATAGAAAGTTTTTGACCAAAAATGTGGACAGTCAAGCTTGGCACTGGTCTTGGAAATATATTGGCTGTGTGATCTTGAATAAGTCCCTTCACTTTATGCATATTTCTGGTTCTAAAAAATGGAAGGACTGGATGATCACTAAATAATGTTTTAAGGGGCCTCCCTAGTGGCGCAAGGGATTAAGTCTCAACATTATGAAGCTATATGCAGCCACTGCAGCACAGAGTTTGACCCCCAGGCAGGGAGGTGACCCACAGCAGCAGACCTCTCTCTGCTCCTCTCAGCAGTGTATTTCAGTAGATCTGCCTGTCTGTATCCCAGTTTTTGGAAGGAAGCTATGCTAACCACTCTACCACCAACACCCCATGTATCCCAGTTTTTGTATGTATAAATAAATAAGTCCTTAAAAAATGTTATAAGTTCTAAAATGTTTAGAGGCTGTGTTAGCTACTTTTATTTTTTTAAATTAATTTGGTGTTGATTTATGTCCTGTTTCTTCAGCTGTTTGGTTGGGATGGATAAGCTAGGTCCCTTCCACTCTACACACAACACCACCACTTCTAATAGCACGAGTCGATTAGCCTAATGTTAGTACTTTCTAGGGACCCTGGAGAAACCCACTTGAAAAGTGAGAATCTTTGGTAAAAGTCACTTCTTTAAGAAACAAATGGATTCTAAGGGTGTTCTCAAACCCTTCCCTTGTGAGTAGTACCTATTATTGGCGGTCACTGCTTGTATTCTAAGTCCGTTACATACATAATGCCACAGTGGGGTTGTGGCCTAAAGTCACACTCTATGAGGGAAGGAGCAGGAAGTTGAGAAAGTTCCGGTAGTAAGTACTGGTTTCCACTCTTGGGATCTTGATCAAGTCTTTCCACTACCTCTCTGGGTCTGAGTTTCCTGAACTCAGAAAAAACATGGTTCTGAATCATCTCTAATGTTCTTTACAGGTGTAATAGGCAGAGATCCATGTGCAAAGGGTCTGTTCTCAGAAATGCAAACTGCAGCTTGCAAATAATTTACAGATGAATCGGCAGTGAACTTAAAGTAAGTCTGCCCATCAGAATGATGGCTGTATTTTCTTCACTGAGCCAAGGAGAGATTAGGACATGATGTAAATGCTAGCGGTTACAAATGCATATGGCGGACACAGTCACAAAAGGCGTGGCGACTCACCTCACATCATTTAACTCATAGTAGACATTTCTGCTTTCATCTTTGATGTAAATGGCGACACTGGGCGACTCCAGCATTTTCATGGTGAGCTGCTGTGGAAAGGCACTTACGAAGAGAGCACGGATTGTATCTGCACTTGTGATTTCATTCGGCATCCTGAGCTGCTTGGTTTCATCTCCGTACTGGAGATAGAGGACCCCTGCAGGCCAGGGAACAAAATGACAGTCACAGATCAAGGCGGACAGGACTTGCAGCACAACTTAAGCCACTTCTGTCCTACCGTTCTCAGGAATGGTTAGGACAAGTATGGGGAACTATGTAATGCATCTTTGGAATTTTCCAGGAATGCACCCACTGGTTAACATGTAAGTATCTACTTTTATTCTTTGGCATCCAGGCAGGTGTTAAAGGGGCTAATTTTCAGTTATTTTAAATCAAAAGGCTAAGCAGCTAACCTCTGTAGCCTAAAGCAAAAGACAACACTTAATTCCTTTAAAGGCATATTTAAGAATCTGACCTTGTGAGGGTGTGATTTTCTCCCACATCTTTTATAACTAGAGACCCAATTATAGCAATGGGCAAGACAGACAGTTTGTCTTTATTGTCCATTTTGAAACATTTTAAGTGGAATACCACCGTATTTCTACTGTGACTCTAATACATATTTGTTGAATGTTTATACCATATGAAACTCTGTACATGAAGAGTCTAGTACCTTCCTGGCTTCAGCTATATAAAACAGAACAAGTCAGTACACAAAGAAAAACACAAATGTGGCCCCCAATGAACCATGACTTCCAGTACTGGTGCCTCTTCCACATGGAGTCTGGGCCTCACCATGTGACTTGCTGAGGCCAACAGGTCATTAGCATGAGTGATATGAAATGGAGGTGACGTAAGTTCTCGTACCCTGGATCTTATTCTCTTGGTGAGTGTGGTTTGGATGTTCCCTCATGGAATCAAGCTTCTGTGGAGTCCAGTGGAGCCAGATGGGGAGGCAACATGACGATGAGGAGAAGCCCTGACTGAAGCCCCCACTAAGCAATGTTCTACAGCCAGGGCCATGCGTTGGTGCTGGTTGTGGGGGTGAACCACCTTGAGACTGGAGCTCCAAGCCCCAGTTGAGCTCCCCTGGCTGGTGCCATATAGAACAAAAGTGAGACAAACCCTCCAAGTCCTTTCAGATTGCAGAATTACAAGCAATTATGCAATTGTCATTGCTTTAAGTCCCTATGTTTCGGGTCACTTGTTCCCAAGATACAGACAACTGAAAAGGGCACCAAAATCTTGACATTTAATTTGAATCTAACTTCCTGCAAGAATCTTGCTAAGGAGGGACTACAACTACTAGAATAAGTTTTGGCAGGAGAGACTTAAGAGAATAAAATAAAACTTCTGGTTACATTTGGCAGTTTGTATAACAAATTTAACTCTACTTCCTTTTGAAATGCCAATAAATGGCAATGAGGAATTGTCAAAAAGCATTACATGAATAATCAAGGGAACGAGAGAGAAAACAATAGCAGATCAGAAAAATCCTAACACCTCAGACTTTAGGGGGAGCTCCAGTAAGTCGTGTATGGCCAGAGAGAGGCACTCTGGAAATGAGGCGGGGGGGCCTTCTCGAGACAGGAAGGCAGAGTGAGTGGAAAGCATGAGGTCTGACTCAATTTGACTGAAAGGTGCAACGAGCTGTCCCCCACGTGTCCCTTTTCATCCCACTCAACCAAGTGACTTCTCATGTGCACTGAAGGCTGACGCGGTTGAACGAAACAGACTAGATCCTGGCTTGCCAGCACAGAGCAGGGTGGGAGCCGCGTTTCCTGACTAAATGCTGACAACAGGGCTGACACTTCAGGAAATCAGAGCACCCTCTGTGGGGCTGACCAGCAGAGAGAAGACCTGTGGGCTTTAGAAGTAAGATGCAGGTTCTGGAGGTAAGCCCAGAGTGGAACATCTTGGCACACAAATAAAAGCTTCCACTTCTGGTAACTGTTCCCCTGGCTCACACAGTAACAGGTTACTGTGAGCTAACAGACATTTCATAAAAACCTCTAACATGAAGATCCAAACAAACAGAAAACTCAAAAGAGATGAGAGTCCAAGAAAAGGGCAACATTTGGAGAATAAAAGTGAGCTCTGGAAAGCATGGGAGCGGACACTAAATATTCAGCAAAGAGGAAAAAGTCAGGGCCTCGCTGGTGGCGCAGAGGGTGAAGTCACAGCATTATGAAGCTATCTGCAGCCACTGCAGCATCAGTTTGATCCCCGGCAAGGGAGTGACCCACATTGTGCACAGACCTCTCCTGACTCACCCACTGCTCCCTTCAGCAGTGTTTTTCAATCTGCCTATTCTGTCTCTGGTGAATCCTTTCACTCACACCCACGCCATACCTCTGAACTGTACCCCAGTTCTTGTATGCATAAATAAATAAATCTCTACAAAAAAGAAGAGGAAAAGTCAATGAAATGTCAGAAAGTGAAATAAAAAGATTATAGAATGGGAAGAAGGTAAAAACCAATAAGGATTACAGAGAACTATTTCATAGCATCCCAATTCCTAATAATTGGGATTTGGGGAAAAGATCAGGAAAAACAGATGACGTTTTACAAAAAATATTATTAAGGCCTTCCCCGCCCTCCAGGTAGAAGGACAGGATATGAGGGGATATGGAAAAGACATGTGGAATGTGCTCCACCTCAGCCTTGTCACCGAGACAACCCAGAGAGCCCCCAGAGGTGGGGAGAAAAGTCACAAATGCAGGCTCAGGGGCAAAGAAAAACATTAGCTTTCTTAGCAGCACCCTAGAAACCAAATGCCAAAAGAAAAACAGTTTTGAACATCTGTTTTCCTTCTAGATCTGTATCCACCTGTCATGGCCCAGGGGAAGCGTTCACCTACCCCTTAGCATTCTCCTAGGGCTGGGCAAGTAATCAAATTAACAGCAGACAGGTTAAGAGGAGAAAACAAAACTTAATTACATGCTTCTGGAGTTGTGGGTTTCAAAGCCAACAGGGCAAAATGGGGGTGTGGGTCCCGAGCTGAGGAGTGGAAGAGAGAGGGGCTTGGTGCTTCAAGGAAGAGAGGGAACTCATCTGCTGAAGAGTGACATGCAGATGACAAAGACTGCTGCTACCTCATATTTGCCCTGCCACACTGATACATTTCTCTGCTAGATGGTTATTTTTGCTAAAAGTTCACACTGTGATTAACTCTGCCAATTTTCATCCCTCCAGGCAGTAAAGGGATGGTACAGTTTCTTGTGAGACTGCAGGGCCCTTACTGACAGCAACCTGAAATGATCAACAAGCCACGTAGTGGGAAGGCGTATTTGGGACGTTTTGGGCGTCTTTATCATCATGAGGAAGTTTCTCCTTCAACCCAACCATCCACAGGCCTTCATTAAGGCTACCTTCTTGGCCAGGCTGCCCAGAATACCTTACCCCACATTCCAGCATTATTCTCCCTATTTTTTTTTATACCCCCATCCTTCTTTTATTTACATTTCTTGAGCATTTTCATGCTCTACTATGATTCATACTTCAATTACTTCTATTTCTTCTTGTGAGTCTCTCCCATTAGAGCATAAGCTTCATGAGGTCAGAGTTTCTCTTTAGAGCTTGTTGGTAGTTGGCCACTATGGTGTTCTTAGACCCTGTGATTGGACCTATTAGACAGTAGGTTTTTAAGGAATGCTGGTAGCATGAACGGCTGATTCACTAGTCATCCAAAATGAATGTTCATTTTGGGGTCTTTCCCAGCTATGGGAGTTTTTTTATATGACATATACAGCCTAGTAACCTCATTCCTGGTCAGTATTAATACATTCTGGTGACTGTTTCCTTCATGAGGTCAGCTCCCCTTCTCCACCCATCACAGTACCGACACTTTGTTTCTCCCAGGAAACTAGTTGTCCAGAGTTTCTCTGCCGTTACACACCTCATAAGTAAACAACAGCCTTCACGCCAGTCTGACACAGATCATGTGTTCCTTCTGCCCTAATCAAGAGATGCAGTGAGGGTCCTTTGTGATTGCTAATGTCATGTCAAAAGGCCCACACCACTCCTGAGGTCTGAGCCCACCACACCAGGGCGAGGCCCTGGCAAGCGGGCCAGCTGTGGCCTCACTACAGACAAACATCACGGGCTGCTCCCCTGACTGGCCTGGTTTTCATTCCCACATCTGCATTCTGTACATGCGTCTGCGCTTGAAATAGAATGTGGACAGCTTAGGGCCTCCACCATGGTTACCTCAGTGTCTGGCCGGCACAGCTGCCAGCTGGGTGCACGAGGCCACTTCCAGATCGCCAAAGCCGGAGGAGATGGGAAAGACGCCTTCACATAGAAAACAGGCTTTTTACACTTGGTGCAGTCTGCTTTCTTGGTTCAGGCAACTATTTAGTTATGTAGCAATGCTTATACTCAGAAGGCATTTCTTTTTTCCACCCTCCCTCTCTCCACTCTTTCCCCTCCCTCAAGAAGGAATTTTTTAAATATATGATGGTGTTTCATTGGTAGTGATGACACTGTCACTCTTTCCTAGTTCCAAGTTAGTGCTGGCTGCTCCAGATTTCCAGAGGAAGTCCAAAGGACTTTGGAACATAAACTAAAGATCATAAAATCCTTTTATGAAGAAGGGAAATGCATTTATAGGCTATCTGCTTGGTGTCACAAACAGTCCATGGGTAATTCATTTAATCAGCACAGTTTCTCTTATCAGGTCATTGTTACGGCCCGTTTTACAGATAGGAAAATGGAAATTTAGCTTTGAGTACCTCACGAGTTCCAGGCAGTAAATGAATCAATTCACAGATCCACGTCTACCCATACCCTCCCTTGAAGGATATGACCTCTAACCCCTGCATTACGCACTTCTCTCCTTCCTAACCTCCTCATCTTGGTTTATCACACTTCTAGGCTGACCATCTGCTTCAAGATGTTGATGTATGACAGGGTCAGCAGAGAAAAAAAATTTCTGTCTTTGAGTTAATGATGACATGTGGTTAGAAATAATCCACACGCTGGGACAGGAGGAAGAAGACACGGAATTTTGAAAGCAAAGGGCTGTCACTACTTCACAATGCTTGGATCCTCTGAGGAGCCAAGACACTCAACAGTCCTTATTTTAATGACTCTGCAAAGGCATGTGGCTTTTGCCCCCAAGAACTCTTGGTCACATTTTACAGAAATAAAGTACAC